AGCTGAAAATCTCTTTTTGATAATAAATCTGTTACTATTATCACATTTATAAGTCCGGTTAATTTATAGGAAGGTGTAGTAAGTTATAAGAATTACTAAAAGTTGCTCAAGTACATTTTAATGTCTTTATTGTAAGCGATTTAGTAATCGTAGTCATTCAAAACACAGGTGAGTTATCAAAGCGCAACCGCGAACTGTAAATTGGGAAAACATGCACAAGCTAACAACCTACTGAAACAGCCAATGACCGACGCAGGGAAACTAGACGACGCAACTTGGCCAAGACACAACAAGAAACAGACGGTTATATACAGAAACTAATAAGAGGAAACAAGGTACAGGTGACCATAATAAAGAAACAATTTGAAGAAAAACAATGGCTCGTGAGAGCAGCAATGCAAAGCATTCAGACAAGATTTTGACAATATTATATTAACTTATATTAACAAGCTAGGTAGTTTGGGCACAGTTGCGTTGTCAGTGGGTAATCCGTAATTGTTAATCAGGAAAACATGCACAAAAAACAGCCTAGTGATACAGCCAATGACAGGAAACCAGACAACACTTTTTCCCGAGACACAACGAAGCACAGATGTTTATATATAAAAAGGACTAAGGAACACAAACAAAGCCTGATAAGAAACTGAACCAAAATTTGAACCGAAACTTAATATAAATACAAACGCACAGGTCTAGTACTAGATAAAATATATCATTGAGATGTAGTGGTTCATCCGCCTGTGACTACTATTATTCTTTATTATCAATGGATTAATATTATTCCTAAATAAATGAGATCACACGTAGTCATGTGATATGATTAGAAATTTAATCACTATTAAGTATAAAGATGAACACGGCATAGAACTTCATCGAACATCATGTCTCCGAGGTTAACATTGGACATCAGTAACTCAGCCTTTTGAGCCTGCCTACTTAGAGATGCACTCAGTATTATAATTAATGAACAAATAGGATTAGACCCCCAAGACTCCCTAAACAGTTGAGCCAGTTGAGTCTCACTAATATAGTCATTTCTCTAGCTTGCATAAGAGAAAAAATAAAACATGCAACAATATGAAACAGTCCCTGAGGTCAATGATACGAGCAGGAATTGTCTTGAAAGGGGACAGCAGAGGAATTAGCGCGGACGTTAACTTAAGCGAAGTAGAGGAAGAGACAGGGGAGATTTTGATTTCCATTCCTAGAGAAAATGAGCAATGGGGAAGAAGGGCGAAGGAGAAGAAATGTATATGACAGGTTGCATAATGATATGGTAATTCACATTTGTGGAAATACTGCAATGACATTCTGGCTTGTTTGTGAAAAAATAACCCTTGGAGTTTAATGGCATTTTGAGTCTCGACCTCATTCAGATATTTTTTTTAGTCTATAGCATGTGAAAAAGCATGTGCTTGCGAGGCCATCTCAGGTAGGCCATCAAGGGGCATCTGAAAGAATGACATCAGGCATTTAAAAGCAATGTCTAATACATACAATGCTTTGAAGGCGCACAAGAGACATTTGTTTTTATGGTGGAAGATCCAATTACTGGTGTTTCTTCAAAAGCACAGGATGCTGCTATCAAGGTTGATGGAAAAATTAAAGTCTTTTATTTTGGCAACTGCATGAGCTCAGCTGTCCTCCTTTTTTATGCTCATCTTAAAAATGCCATTATCAAGGCCCCTTACAAGGACCCTTAATAGTCCCAGAAATACACCTCCCTAGATCTGCCCATGCTTGTGTCAACCTTTCTTAGCAGGTGATGTCTTTGTTGGTCATTTCTCTCACTGCTCTCGGCAGTGTTCGGCACTGATGGAGAAGTCATTCTGTGTTTGCTGTAAAGGCCTGGTATGGCCTAGAAGTTCAGAATTCAGCATGCTGACTGCTGCTGCAGACATGCTGAACCTAAACCAGACCAATCATACTGTAGCTCTTTAACATTACGAATGTAAAAGAAAATTGATTGATCTGGAGTACCAGTGGTTCTAGCAAGGTCAAGTGTTATGACAGAGAATATCATTGGGTGAAGATGGCCAGTAGTGCAAGTGAGCAGGAACAATCCAGAATGGCACCTTCAGTCACTTGGAGAGGCTAAACTTTTAGTTTTCTGTGATGTGATGGACAGCAGGAACCAAAAACCAATTACATTTCTAATTTAACAGACCTTATCCAGTTTACTCTCAATAGTTATTGGACAAAACCTATACCAACAATGAGAAGGCTGAATGTAAATGCTAAAATGTAAGTGCTGTTGAGTACTTTACAGAAGCCCTAATCATGTCCAAATTTGTTTATCATTTATTATTTAGGTCTAAATGTAGCTAGCTGTTTGGCTTGGGGATAAGGTTAACTAGCAACCAAGTCCATCATGGAATCTGATCTTGCGAACACAGTATTGATGCTAGATGCGTGAAAATTGCTAGCAAATAGTATTCTGTTGAATTGTTCAATTTGCCTTCCATGTTAGCCCAATCATCCATCCATCCATCCATCCATGTTCCATACTGCTTATCCTACACAGGGTCATGGGGGAGCCTGGAGCCTATACCAGGGAACTCGTGGCACAAGGCGAGGAACATCCTGAATAGGGTGCCAATCCATCATAGGGTGCAAACGCACACACTATGGACAATTTGGAAATGCCAATCAGCCTACAACACGTCTTTGGACAGGGTGAGGTAACCGGAGTACCCGGAGGAAACCACTGAAGCACGGGGAGAACGAGCAAGCTCTCAAAACGAATTTGTTTAAAGTAAGTTTGTGTTTGGAAGGCCAGAATGTTACCCATGTGAGATTTAACTGAAACTGCAACCTTCACTTCCAAATTCCACTTTAACCCCTACATTGGCGATTTGTTATAAAGTTCCCATTTGTCAGCAGAACAGTTTGTTAATTGTAGAAAGGAGTGAAAAATGGGGGACGTGTTTCAAATGAATGTCAATTCGATAGGTCACCTGTCTTTTCCGTTCTTCTCCTGCTTCTATCGACAGAACAATATTCATTATTCATTCCATTTTCCTTAAATTGCCTTATCTTTACCTCAACAAAGAAGGAAAGAGTGAGGTCCTCTTTTACATAATCCAAGCACGTTTCAGTGACAGGACTAAGAAAGTTTTAATTGGCTCAGCAACTCCAATGATGTCGAGTCACCCAGGGAACATGCTGGAACCACCCAAATGTGTTTTCCTCGTTTCTCATTTTCCTCCTTCCCTCCTGAGCTTTAGCCCACTTCTTCTCCATGTCTGACTCCACAACGTGATTGATCCTGAAACTATAGTCACAGCTTGACAAAGCACTCAAGGGAAAGTGTCTGGTAGAGAAAGAAATGGGGTCGCTTGAAGAGACTGTGGTACAGCGAGGAGAGAGTGAGAGAGATACCTCATCTGGTGGTTTGGGGTTTTTAATCACTCCTAAATTACTTCTTCGATCCAACGGCACAGTGGGCTGGAATAATTGCTCAGCGCTGTCCTTGATTGGGCCGCCATAATTAGGAATTGAGGGAACTTTCCTGATTGCTCTAGATGGATGGCTCCTAAAGAGCAAGGTTTATCCTCAGTGTAAACTGCTATACTGTGGAAATTGCAAAAGACAGCGTAAACGTAAGTAGATTCTTTTTTAAAATCTTCCACCTGATCAATTTTATAGCTTAGTTTCAAATTAAAAGCAGTTGGGTGGAATAGGCCATCTGAGCTATCTTTACATCTTCTTATTCTACTTGGTCAGTTTATGCGATGAACAAGCAAGTTAATTCAATCAGTTTACAACAACATTCTACTGGCCTATGGGAAAAGTAGCTAATAAGGTGTTTGACTTCATTCCCTTTTTGGTTGCTAGGTTTCTCAATCTTAAACCCCCCCCCCAAAAAAAACAAAACAAAACAAAAAAAAAACAGCTATCAAATCTTTCGTTTTATGTCTTTCGGAGGCATTATGTATTTGGAAAGCAAATTCTTGTTGTTGTGGATTTTCCCCAACACAATTCTGTTTAGGGTTGGACCTGCCAATTCTTCAGCGTGTAACAGGCTTCCACTTCACACTGGGCCAATTTGCCAATGAGTACAAAATTTATTACTGAATGACAAGTTATGCTTTTTGTCCATTTATAATACAAAGTGCTGCCACTTGAAACTCCATCCATAAAAGATGTCCCCTTTCAGAAAACTTCACCATATATTTATTAGATTAAATTAGATCATCTATTTGTCTCTGTGAGCAAGTTTGTAAAGAATAATGTATTCAAATGAGCACATTAATATAAACCCACTGTAAGAGATGCTCTTATATAAAAAAAAATATCTAAGCTTCTGACCAAGCAAATTTAGAAGCACTATGGTATATTTGGCTTTACAAATCATGTTTCATTATGTTCCCCAGTTTGTAATAGAACAATAAATATTGATCAGTGCACCTTTAATTTATGAGAGAAATAAATGAAGCAATTATCTACACTAGAGCAAACAGTTCTGTTCAGTGCTTCTTGGTTGTACTGTTCATCTTTAATCCAAATCCAAGCAGGACATGCTTGCATAAGCAGGTCAGGTCAAGGGCCAGTTGTGGGGCACAAGACACACACTTTTATCCGATGTTGAAAGTCAGACTCTTAAACAGTAGCCTTCCTTTGCTGTGTGTAATTCAGGACTCGCCTTGTTAGTGCTGACTGACTTAACATGGCAGTCACTCAAGCAGGACCAAAACAGCATGGCCATTCACATGACAAAGAAACAAGAACAAAAAAAAAAAGTGCAGTGTGTCCGGGCCATGCTGTGATATGACCTTACCACAGCTCTGTGGCCAGTTACTTGACCAGAGGGCGCAAGTACCATACCCGAGTCTCAGCATTAAGCACAGTTGCTTGAGAGTTAATTACCAGGCATTTCCCAGGGGGTGTTAGAGCTAGACTCCTGACAGGACTGGAATCACTGGGTTATACTAAGTTATAATCAGCAAAATTATCATCTCAAAGTCCTGTGTACAGTATAAAATAAACTGTTATCTTTTGTCAGTATGTGGCAATGGGTAAGATGTTGGACTACTGATCGGAAGGTAATGAGTTCAAATCCCAGCACTGACCTTGAGCAAGACCTTTAACCCTCAACTTCTCATCTGTATAAATGAGATAAAATATAAGTTGCTCTGGATAAGGGTGTCTGCCAAATGCCATAAATATAAATGTTGACCTTATATCATATGTTGATAAAAATGTTTACCATCTTATATATATATATATATATATATATATATATATATATATATATATATATATATACACACACACACACACACACACACACAGGTTATTGTTGTAGTTGTGGTAATAGGTAATAGTTGCTACCAACTATTGCTGTATATATTTAACTCTAAGTATTTATTTTTTTATTATTATTATAAAAAATGATTTGAGCTGCTTGAGATGACCATTAATAATTCTTTATTACCTTTTTTAATAATGACACTTGGAGGCTGTGCATATAGTCGTACATAAACACTAAATTCTGCAATATGGATTAACAATAAAATGTACTCATGAGAACAAACAAACAAATAAATAAATAAGGAGATAACCTTAGGTTGAGCTAACAACATTAAACTGCCATTATTATGAAGTAGCAGCTAGGCTCAGAAAATCATTCTCCAATCCCCCAGTCACAAATAGCACTACCCAGGCCTAAATGTCACCAGAAGCAATGCTTAATGAAAATATGGCATGTTAACACACACCTCCATATTCCCTAATTGAACTGCTATGAATAAGGCACCTACTAACGTACTAACCTGAACAACCCACTTTACAACTCAAATGTTCTTGGGGATTAGTTAGTTGGTTAGTTGGCGCTTTCTAGGATCTCGTGAGCGTTTGGTGGTCATTGGGGATCACAGCTGGATGGCAATGGTCGTAATCAGTCTGTAGCTCAGTGTCTTTACCAAAGGAGCTTAACTGATGGAAAATCTCTAGAACATTCTCATCTAATCAGTATAGATATTTAATGGATTTTATGCATATGCAAATTAGTAACGCCCCTACCCCTACATTTGCCCATCCATTTCCGCTCTGAACATATTTGCATGATTTGCACAAAGCACAATTATAACAATAATATGATTGTAAAATAATTATGACAGTGCACAGGCTTGAGTCTGTAGTCCAAATGCAGACAGGATTACTGCTGGGGAAAATGATTCAAATCACTGCTCAAATCACAGTTTTCATGATTGAAAGTACGCAATGGTACAGTAATCATAAGTTATTTACTACTGTTTAGTCTTGCTTTCACACTCTCTGGTTTCTCACCAGCTCGCTCTCTCTTTTACTACAGCACATGCGGAATCCTTCTCTTCTTCTACTCTTTAAATGGCATGCAAATCATGCATAGCTGAACAGGCGTCAGCACAAAATAAAGAAATTTAAGATGTGGGACATGGCTGTGTAATAGGTTGGCAAACAGAGAGGGTATGTGCATGTATCAACAAACGGCACATGCACAGAGGGAGGGGAGAGAGAGAGAGAGAGAGAGAGAGAGAGACAGACAGAGACAGAGACAGAGACATGCACAGCTGGGAAAGCCCTAATTATCCAACTACAGATTATCTCCTCCTTTTAACAACCAAGCTTTAATCCATTTTCATGTAAACTACACGGTGTTTAAACATGGAAGAGATGGAGCTACATGGAAGAGACACATGGCGTAATTCAAAATAAAAAAAATAAATAAAAAGAATCTATGAAGGACATATGCATAATGACCTATGAATATATTCAATTCATCCATATGCCATTCATTCCCTATGACTACATTCATACGTAGTTATAATGCCATTTTGCCATGTGCTTGTATTTCTGTTTTCTCCATTGTATTTCTGTTTGTATTTCTAGTCCTGTCTTCTCCATTGTCTTTATATTGGTTGATTATTCTATTCTGTTCTTCTATCTTCACCTGTTCTGTATTTAACCTTGATTAGTTTATATAGGCCTTGATTTGTTACTTGGAGCTTTGAAAGTGCAAAACTTTAGACCACATGGACATGTATTCCTTATTCTCTCTGATGTTTTCTATTCACCTCCCTCTCTCTGTTCAAGCACTGTCTAGTGTTCATTTGTGCTGCTGTATTGCGTCATCTCCTCAAAATTCAGACAACGTCATCTATCATCTACTCCTATTAAAGCACCAGGGTCATGTCTGGTGCCCCTGCTGCCTCTCTCCTATTGATGCCATTTGATTTGACTCCATCCACTCCACTGCCGCCATTTAGCGACCTTTATCCTGCAAATTTCAACAGACTCTCTAATGAGTCTGACAGGTAATTATGGAGAAAGGGCTGTGCCGTGGTCGGGTCCTGGCCAACAGTAATTAAGATGCAAGTACAAGCCATTTTTTGTACTGATCCAGGATCAGTGTCCTCTACAGAAGTGCTGACCCGGTATGAGAAAAAGCTGATTTCAGATCAGACTAAAAGGGCGTGATATATTTATTAAGGTCTGCGAAAGGAATTTTCAATACAGAGTCTGTGACATGATAAATACTCTCTCTCAAGGAAGTAATGCTTGCTTATAAGCTATAAAAATGCCGCATGAAGCTTATAAATTTAGTTACAATTTTTTTTTATGAAGTCCATATATATGATGATCTATAAACACATTCATAACATAATTTTACAAGATATTTTACACATTGTTATACCTACTTAAGAAAATGCATTACAACTTATAGCGGTGGTTTATGAATTGTTAACAGAATAATTCATTCAGTAGTGTTCATAAGACATTATATCGCCAATCAAAAAACTACTTATACCAGTATTAAACTATAGACTAAAAAAATTAAAACATAAGTAACATGGTACATACTTCATGCTTGTACATACTTAATGTATGAGTTTAGGTTATAGATAGACATATGATAGAATAATAAGAATTATAGTGCCTTAAAATCTGTATTTTTGAGAGACATACAGTATTTTAAACACTTTCTATGAAGGTCGTATGTATAATGACTTCATGAATACATTCATGAGGCATTATACACATCATTATAATAATTTATGAAAACTCATTGCTGTTTGTTTCATTGTTTATAATGCATTTATAAAATGTTAAAATAATGCATTATAAGTCATGCTTATAACACATTATATCACCATTATGTTTTCTCATGATACACTATGCAAACTGGGTTTTGATGATATCACGTGCTACGGACACTGTTTATAATGCATCAAGTTAAGAGTTTATAATGCATAATAAACATAGCTATAAAGCGTAATGCACTTTCATCAATATTTATAACAATGTGTCTAATTCTCAATGAATGCATTATAACATGATATGAACGTATTTGTAATTATTATAGATATCACCATAGAAAGTGTTACCAGAAATATTAATCCAATGATTTATTTTCTGATAAAAACTCCAATGCAGGTCATAACACATAGTGCACTATGCAATCCTGGATTGAGTCCGTTAAAATGTGTAAGAACACTACTTATAATGCTGTATGCTAAGAATTCAGAATGCATAATAAAGGAATCAATAAAGTGTAGTTTAATCTCATAAGTAATTGTAAGAATGCCTTATGAATGCATTATAACATGTTAAGAATGTGTTTATTGTTCATTATAGACCTCGCTTTTGTAGAAGGTGTTACCTAAGTGTTAAGAAAAGGAATAACTAGCAACATACAATGAATGATAAGAACAGTTATAATGGTTTATGAACATGAATATGAACTTCATAGAAAATGTTTCCTTAAAAAAAAAAAATCTGGAACATTCTTACAATATCAACAGCATTTTAGGGTTATTAGAAATGCCAATTGAGATGTAAAATTGATATAAATATTGAACTGTACCTGTTAAACCTCTAAATTATTAAACTGACTATATCCCATCTAAGACAGTTATATCCATCCATCCATCCATTTTCTGTACTGTTTATCCTACACAGGGTCACGGGGAGCCTGGAGCCAATCCCAGGGGACTCGGGCACAAGGCGGGGGACCCCCTAGACAGGGTGCCAACCTAACGCAGGGCACAATCAAACACACATTCACACACACATTCACACAGACATTTACACACTACAGCTGATTTAGAATTGCTAATCAGCCAACAACACGTGCTTTTGGACTGAGGGAGGAAACCGGAGTACCTGAAGGAAACCCTTGGCATGGGGAGAACATGCAAGCTCCGCGAACACACGGCGGAGGTGAGAATTGAACCCCCAACCCTGTAGGTGACAGGCAAGCTAAACGCTAGACGTTTTTTGCTAGACGTTGTCTAGAATGGCATTTCTGGTTTATGCTTGGTGGTTGACAGTATGAAAAGAGATGAGATATTTCGGCTCTAAATGTCACTCATGAGCACACACTGATTCCTGACTCCATCCATTTTGGATTAACTCAGTACATATACAGATATAAGGTAGTGACAGGGAAGAAGGAGATGAAGCATAATAATGTTAATCTCCGGAGGGAAAATGCTTTCTCTCGATTCTGTCCTGAGTAAAAATCTAATGTCCAACATGTGAAACAGAGATGGGGGGATTGGGTGAAGAGTAAAATGTAGCATGATATTCTCTTCTTATTGCCAAGCTAGAGGTCACCTCTCCATCACTGTAGCATGAGAGAGAGAGAGAGAGAGAAAGAGAGAGAGAGAGAGCACATGATAACTCATATCACATGGTTTCCCATTGTACTTGGTCTTCATCAATTGTTTATTCTCTATCCTCCATTTTCATTCCAAGAAATGCCATCTGCCTTAACATTAACTTAACATAATACAGTTTCAGTTAGCCTTATGAACACAACCCTGAAGTATACCAAATATACTTCAAGTTGACATTTAGCAGTGAAATGATGCAGCAGGAAAGTAACCCAATCAAATTCCACTTAACAAAGTAGTCCTTAAGAGCAACAAACTCTCACGTTGGTGTTTAATTAACATTTACTATTCAGGAAGTCAATCACGTAGTGGCCATTAAGCAGAAACGAACAGCCAAGTGGCTGTTACTCCTTTGGGATTTGGCCTGATAGATATTCAATGGAGCCCAGTTTAGCAGCCCTAGGGTCGGCAAAA